CGTAGCAGTTTAAAGTGTTAGCTCCTCCATCAAGGAGTAACGGAGTAACCCTAGCACATCAGTACATCAGCAGAGGCAGCAAGACACAATCCCAACAGTGGCGGCTGTTTGAGCCTTAGGGTAAGCACCCATTAGCAGAACATACGAGGTAAGCAGTAATATTATCGGTAATATAATCCTGGAATTTTTATTAATAGTGTCACGGCATTGAAATTTAGGGCAATATCGTGCAAACAAGGCCACCCCGCGGCAGCTAAGTGCTAGCGCAGCATTGCCTGCGCATGTGGAGACCATCGGTCTCCTTATAAGCCTCACGCAGCACACGGTCGTGGCGAAAAACGCACCACTTTCTAAGTGCGCTCCTTCGTTCGGAGTGACACCGCACCGCCACGCATATGATTACGACCATCCCGCCGCGGTGGTAGTAACAAAGCAGCGTCATCACCTAGCGCCGCATAGCGTTCCTAGTGCTAGAGCGCTGAGCCTTGGACTAGCTGCGTCGCTCATATTGCTCCCGCACTTGCCACGGTACCACCGCGCGCCCACTTGTATCTTCATCAGCGGTTACTGCCACCGCTTCGACACCACAGCAGCGCTCTCATCACCACCGCTGCAGTAAGATAGCAGAGCCACCAGACGCGGCCATACGTGCCACTGGCCCAATAAAGGCTGCCACAGCCGCTGCAGCAGCTAAGCGCTAGTGCGGCGTCGCCTCCACATGTGGAGAGCACCGTGTCTCCGTACATCCCGCACCTAGCACACCGTCCGGTTGGTACGTTATGCCACGCCACAACACCTCGCATGAAGCGCGGCACTAGCTAAGCGCGCTCCTTCATGCTAAGCGGCAACACATCGTCCCGCGAGCAGTCACAACCGCTGGTTAATTAATACCAATACCAGCGTCGCCGCACGGCACCGCCCAGCTTTCCAAGTGTCAAATCGTTGAGCTTTGGATTAGTTTCATCGCGCACATCGCCCCACGAATTTGCACTGTAGCACCGCACGCCCAGTTGTATCTTCACCAACGGTTACTGCCACCACTTCGACATCGCGGTAGCGGTCATTACAACGCGCGACCGTGCGCAACAGCAGCGCACATAAGCGCTCGACAACAACTCGCCACTCAGCGCAACCCCGACCACCTACCAGCGTCCGCCAATAACTGCGCCTATCAGAAGTCGCCAACAACTCGTCACCAACAACGTCGCATAGCAGCGACCTAATACACACCGGCTACAACAAAAACAGCAGTGCCCCACCAAGGCCTGCTGCAGCGAGGTGGGTGAGTTCTAAAATTTTGAAAAGAAGGCAAATAACTAAAAGTAACTTAAGATAAAAAACAGGAGCTCTACAATGTCGATTTTTACCACTACTTTCGTTAAATTTTGCACTATAACAAACCTTTCTATATAAGGTAATAACTTGTGCTTTCTAAATAATATAAATTTCTGTAGCATTAATTATGCAATTTTCTTCAAAAAGGTAATTTATTAAAAAAAATTTATTTTTTTTCTTTCTTTGTATTTCTGACTTGAGTATATAAAAAATCCGGAAAATTATGAACATCAGCTGAAAGATAAACTAATCATCTTTATTTTGACATGATTAGTGGTCTAATCGGCTATGTAGTTCATAAAATATTGATATTTCAAAATATCGAAAAATTTAACTTAACCTCGTATATCCCCTCAATTTCCCACCCGCGTAAAACAAATTTGGTAAGGTTCAAATCAGCATGAAGAGCTCCACCAAATTACACCCCTGGCTTTTCTACAGCTAAAAGATCGGTATTCTACACTTTTTGTAAAAATTAACATCACATTTGACGTCAGTAATGAAAACAGAATGTCAATTATCTGACACTGAAAGTTGAAGGCAGTCTTTGACATGCACTGCGGTATCGACATTTGGTCAGTTTTTAAAATGTAATGAAAACGCGTTTAACATCAAATGAACAGCTGTTAGATGAAGGCAGTTTTTTGGCGTCAGTGATTCTGACCTAATGAAAACCAGCCTTTAGTACTAAGGAAAACGTAGCTCTCAAACTACCAAGTCACCGCAATAGATGCCAAAATACAAGTCCTGATATATATATTTCCCTCTATATTCTAACATATGTGTCAAGATATAAACTCCATCCTGTGAATACGGCAGTTACAGACAGCTGTCACAACTATCAGTAGCCTCCGCTGGAAAGCGTTTATTAACCGAAAAAGTAGGCGAACAAACCTGCAGGAACAAGTGACAATCAGCGACTCTGTCCGCAAGGAACACAGCTATCGCAAAATGGCAGACATTCCATGCAGTTTTGGTGTTGCCATACGCTCTAGAAAAATTATTAGATGGTGAAATTTATGGCACGCTACCGGGTGCGCTATACGCCGAAGAATAAAGTATTTATATTTTGTGCGGCGAACAGTAACCCATAACAAAATTAAAATAAATTTCCTTCCAGACGGACAAGTAAGGTGATAAATTTGTATGATGAATATCGCGGAAAATCTTTTGCATCAAAATTTCAATTTTAATTTGCATTTGAATTGTGATATCAACAGTGATGCTTTGGAACGTATTTTTTGAAGACAAATTTTTTATAAATCTTGAGATTGTTGATTTATTTTAGAATTAAAAATGCTAGTTTATATTAAAAAATATATTTAGACTAGAAGTATTTAAACTACTTTTATTACGAATCGAAACGATTTTAATGAATATGGTTACCATTAATAGTAGTATGACAGTTAGATATAATGCATATTTGACAAGAAAGATAAAATACAAGATTGCGGCGTCCTGGCGGCGATGACATAACAAGGTAAACAAAGTAGAATTGGATGTTGAAAGAAAATGTGAGAACAGCCAATTTTCTTAATAATAAATTTTTCGATAAGGAACGTGTTTTAATTGTGCTAAATTCGAATACCCTTATTCATAAAAACTAAAGTAGCTTTAAAAAAAGTTTATAAATTGAAAAATTTTTGCAAACGGCAATTTAAAAAGCTTTTTAAAATTTTTATTTTTTATGAATAAGGCGATAAAAATATATGATTTAAAATAACTTTTAACAAGCAAAATACAAAAAAGGTGATTTTTGCGGAAGTAGGTATTAGTGAATTGCAGTGCATTTAAAGTTTCTGAGGTTTCGTTTACTTTTAGATCAGAAATGTTAAAATTGAGAAATTCAAACGAGGAGTACAATAATCATAGGAAAGAAGATTGCGCCCTGAATGTTCTGGTATCTTTTTTGGTTTCGGTTTGACAGCCAGCTGCTGTGATGATGTGGAAATTTACCACAATGAAGAAAAATATAACAATTAAGTGAAAAAAATTTGATTTTTACAAATTTAGTGAGCAGTAGCGCATTTAAGAACGATATTTCGGACAAATCGTTAATGAACAACTATTTTTCCTTCCCGTCTGCTTTGCTTTTGGCAAAAAAGTTGATTTGTTCCTGCCGGCGATCAAGTCATTTCAACCACAAAATACTATTATTTACAAGAACCATTCACTAAAATTGAAACTAACTTTTTATCATTTATTAATTCCTTTTTGATATTCAGCAATAGCAAGATGGAAAAAAATTATAAACCAAAATTAGTAATATTTTTATGAATGTAGTTATAAAAGTTCACAGAGGAAACGCCGGAAAACAATGTATTGCCAATGACATAAAATGTATGGCAATTTAGATGTCAACAGAATAATATTTACGATAAAAAATCATGAGAGAAGTGTGCGAAGGAGGAAATCTTTTCAATTTGAACAAAAAAAAGCTTTAAATGCCGTTGTAAAACGGTCAACAAATTTCTTATAAAATATTTTGATTTTTACTATGATAAACACATTACAAGGTAAAATCATTGAGAGACAGTCTGACGTTTGCCAGCAATATAATTGTTAAAATTCGAACTCAAGCTCACACACACATTCTCATTTTCAATCTCAAACAACAACAATTGTGAACAATTTCATTTTTTTATTTTCAATTTTATATGATTTTAAAATGTTTGCAAACGTCAGAAAAAAATCATGGCCGACGAATTGAGAGAATANCAAATGAATATTTAAACGGCACTTAAGTTTAATTGTGGATTGTTGTTTAAATGCCATTTAGCTTTCGTTGGGTTTCAGATCAACTTTGTTTAAATATGCCAAACAATTGGCAGCACTGCTGCTTATTCCTTGAAATTGTTGTTGCATTTGCATGTTTGTTTACATTTTCTGCTGAACAGCTGATTGTTTGACGTGGGATTTGGTGGGATTGATTAAACAACCTACCAATCAATCTTGGTTGTTTGGTATAAACACAGGGTTGTATATCTCATATTTAAATAGTAAAATTGGCCATTTAAGTGCAGACTAAATGTATGATCTGAAAAGGAATAGTGGAAATTAATCAACAATCTCTACTTAAGTAGGCCATCTGAAATCGGGCCTAACAGTTGCTAAATTTGAAAACTATTACACATTCTTTCAGGCTTTCAACTCATACTCCTATAATAGTTGTCTGCCCTTTCGCCAGTTTTTTGAATGCATGCAAAAAACGAGTTAGGCATCATGTTATCCAAAATGTGCGTGTTGAACTAGTCACGCAAATGAAGGGCCCTAAAGTTCTAGGTCGCCTCCGAACGGCAAATGGTTTTTATGAGAAGCGATTTCATGGCAGAAGTACACTCGGAGATTTGAAAATGCGACGACCGCAGATCGGGAATTGCGTAGAGCAACATTTGCTGGAACTGTATGTGGGATCTGGATGACAGTCTTCCTAAAACAAATTTGAAAAATTTATTGAAGTAGTAACTCTTCTGGCTATGAATTTTTGAGGAAAATTATCCTTTTTGACCATTTTAATAAAAATATTTAGCAAAACGAAGAAAAGTTTAACATTTTAACAGTCAGAAAAAACTTAAGCAATTTTGCTTAAATTTAAGCAAAACGGCAACGCTGTTTATATTATGTTCCTGCCCAGTGCAGCACCGCCCTGCGTTAGTGCGTTTTGTTCCTTCCCAAGTGCTGCATCGCCCGAGTGCGAGTGAATTTTTTTAAATACCGCCATGTAAGTTTATACTGGAGGTTTAATAAGAATAAAAGGTATTCAGTGAATTTTAGCATTGCAGGTCATACACAGCTTTTTTTGTGCTACTGCCCAAGTGCTACCTCGCCCTGCGTTAGTGCATTTTGTTCCTGCCCAAGTTCTGCATCGCCCGAGTGAGAGTGAATCTTTTTAAATACCTCGAAGTAAGTTTATACTGGACATTTAATTACAATAAAAATTATTGAGTGAATTTTAGCATTGCAGGTCATACACAGCTTTTCTTGTGCTACTGCCCAAGTGCTACCCCGCCCTGCGTTAGTGCATTTTGATCCTGCCCAAGTTCTGCATCGCCCGAGTGAGAGTGAATCTTTTTAAATACCTCCAAGTAAGTTTACACTGGACATTTAATTACAATAAAAATTATTGAGTGAATTTTAGCATTGCAGGTCATACACAGCTTTTCTTGTGCTACTGCCCAAGGCTACCTCGCCCTGCATTTGTGTGTTTTATTGTTCCTGTCCAAGTGCTTAGCTGTTTTGCTTGTAAGTACTACTGACTTAAAATTATATTTTGTTTATTTAGGAAAACCCTATAAAAACGATCACTTTTTTGAGGAATGCACTTTTTTTCTACAGATTTCATACGCTCATCCTACAGAAAACTATTAAAATTTGTTTGCCTGAGAGGGGGTCTTCGTATTCTGGCCCGTATGCGCTGAGAATCTGGATTTATATCAATAACTACTTAAATTATTAAGACAAACATATATAAATACATAGTAATACATATTAATACATATAATAATAATATACATAATAACAATAATACATAATAATACATAGAAAAAGTTAGAATACATTTTTTAAAGTTAAAGTAAAATATAGCATAAACAATTTCGATTCAAAAACAAGTAATTTTTAAGCAAAAAAGAAAACCGACTTCAATTCTCATATAAAAATTTAAGGTTATCGTTAATTTCTCATGATCCAATGATGTTATACGGTAATAAACATAAAAAAAATTAAAAATCCGACGAATTGATAACCTCCTTTTTGCGAAGTCGGTTAATAATTAATTTAATAATAAATAAATATATATTAATTAATAAATAATTAATAATTAAATTAATACTGTGTTTAGTAGCATATATAAAAAAAAAATTATAAACGAAAGAATTGTACACAGTTGCGCATATATATCAATAAAAATTTTGTTGAAAGATACACTTTTAATAAAACATTTTTTTTTACATTAGAAGTATGATTGTTTTAACGAGATGTAATTGGATGCTTTCAATAATACTCTCGATATATGTAGATAGAAATTATTGCATTTTTAAAGCTTTTGATTTTATGTTTGGTTTTAGTGTTATCACTATGTTAAAAGCAAGTTGTTTTCTGTGTCATAAGACATGGAAATAAGAAGGCATACATATGTATACCCAAATGCGAAGTAAAAAGAAAAAAATGGTCGGACTCGTGTGGAATGGAGCTAAAAGTTGGGGCAAGAATTTGTGGGCTCAACTTTTGCCCTGAAGATTTTTTGTCTGGTCCTGACCAGCAAAGGACGAAATTAAGCAAGGATGCCCTTGCAATGGTGGTTGACAGCCGCAATACCTCGAACGTGGTGGAATTCGTGGACGCCTCAACACAAACCTAGTAAATTTTAAAAATATTTTAAATTTAACTTTATAATATATGTACACATACTGTTTAGATCTGAAGCAGATGAGCGCGTAGATATTCTGGAAGCAGAGGTTGAAAAGTTGAAAACCCAAGTTAGGGAGCTACAATGCCTGCGATCCAATCTGCAAAAGATTTTTACAGAAGGTCAAATGCGCAAAATGGAAAATCTGACTAGGAATATTCATTGGAGTTGGAAGGACATGTCCCCAGCCTTATCCTTGCATTCCTCTGGGCAGCGTGCTTATGCTCGTCTCATCAAGAATGGCTTCTCCCTTCGAAGCGAGTCCATGATAGCGAAGTGGTGTCAAAAACTGAAGTTCGAGGATGGTGTTCTGAACTTATCCATAAGTGTAATGCGAAGCACCGCGACTGAATTAGCTTTGGACGATAGGCTTTGGATTTTGTCTTTCGATGAAATGAAAGTTCAGTCCGCTTATGAATATGACTCCCTATCTGGTACCATCCGAACGCCAAGCAGCTATGCCCAAGTAGCTATTGCTCGAGGGCTTAAGGGCTATTGGAAACAGCCAGTTTTTTCAGCGTACGACTGCCGTATGACACAATCAATTCTGAACAGTGAGTTGAAACATACAGCAGTCTCAGATGTCATCTCTCACAAAATTTCCGATACCCACCTCACAGTGCACCATGCGGGTCGCCAAAAAGTGAAACTTGCGGCCAGGGGCGCACCCAGGAAAATATTTTGGGAGGGGTTTATACTTCTGAAAGTTCGCTTCAGATAATATGCCCTTTAAGGTACATTTATGCAAGTTTTTCGTAAATTGCACTTTATTTACATAAAATTAGTAAAGAACTCAAACATTTGTAACCGACTTCGAAAAAGGGAGAGGTTGTCAATTCGTCGGAATATTTTTTTTTATTTTATGTGTATGCTACCGCATAACTTTGAACCACGTGAACCAATCTCAATAATTCTTTTTTTTTATCGGAAAGATGGTACCTCAAGGGTCGTCCCGTAATTTGAAAATTACTTGTTTAATATAAAGTTCTATAATCACAAGATGCGCTCAACTTTCAAAAGTAATAAAAAAATTTAAAAAATTGTTTTAATTTCCATTTTCCTCAATATCTGGTTTCTGGTTTTCGATTGATTTGATGATTTTTGGGAAAAATTAAATGGACTTTTATTTTTATTATTTAGGTAATTTTGGTGGAACGAATTCGAAGTTGGTAAATTAAATCTTCGAATCCTTGTTAAGTACATATCAGTGGTAAACTCTTTTGGGCTGTAAGGTGTAAAAAACAACAGTAAGTGAGTATGCATTGCATATTTTTAGGACAATGGTTTCATTCGAAGTTAAACTTTTAAGAGCTCTCAATAAAAACGAAAAATTCATATAAAATTACGCACAAGAAATGGAATAGAAATTTTCTTCTATCAAAATTTATTAAATAAGTGTGCATCTCCCAAGAAAAAAATGCTCGTATATTTATTTCTTCAAGAAAATTTACAGCCAAAGCAAAGTGCTTTTTGATAAAAAATATTTCTTGTTATTTTTCTTGAGAGCCGGCTTTAGGATACAGTTTGTATTTCAGGTTATTAGATTTAGGGGGGTTTGAACCCCAAAACCCACCCCTTGTGTGCGCTAATGCTTGCGGCGCAACTGTTTTCCAAGAGCATAGCCAGCGCCATACGACGTTGCTTTTCGTTGGGGTTGGATGTTTACAAAGCATTCGAAACAGCAGATTTTACTGAAATTGTTAACGATTGGTTTGACCTCTGCAACACAAAGTTAACGACGTACCAAAGTTTTCCAGCCAAAGAGCCCTTTGGAAAGAGTTTGCTGGAACAGTTAGGCATCCTAGAGAAAATGGATCACTGCATGCAATGTACGCGGGCTTTTGGAAAAAATTCTTTATTGCCATTCCAAAAAGGAGTTTTACTAACGAATGAGTCGCTAAGAGGTTTATATTGGTATGTTAACGAACGGTATGATTTACAGTACATCTTAACATACCGATTAAATCAAGATGTTTTGGAGCACTTTTTCGGAGCTATGTGTGCCAAAGGCGGGCTACATGACAATCCCACTCCTATGCAGTTTAATCTTCTCAAGTAGAAACCATAAAAGAACTCCACGAAGATGCGCTGGAGCATGTCGCCGGCTATATAATCAAGAAACTGGGCCTCTCAGAGTATATAAACCTTTCCTTCCCTTGGTAGCCATATGGCTTCTATGTTGGCACCTTAATTTTTGGCTGTGGGCTCATTCAATAGAAGTTGTGGGTACAAAACGTTAATGCCTTAAAACTTACTGTACACATATTTGAATTTTTTTGTAAGAAGGCCTTGGAATTTGCGACTTTTATTTGCCGCCCACGCGGTTGTCTCTATTTAGTGTTACGCGAACTTTATTTTCGAAAGGTGTCCGTACAATTATAAATTTTGTGTTAAATTTTTTTTTTAGGTAAGTAAATATTTAAAAAAATAACTTCTCAACAGAAAAAGTTTAAAAGGAGAACTGGGAGTAAACATATCCTTTAAGATTTGTTGGCTAGCCAAATGGCTCCATTGGGACGAAGTGTGTATGAAAATGCTTCATAAATTTTTAATGCAATAGAGGTCGCCTGACTTATTGTTATATCTTTCCGTGCAGAAAAAATTTCTCGGTTTGGTAAAAATTTGGCTCGCAACGAAATAGAAATCTTGAAGGTTTTATAGGGCGATGACTCAGAGGAAGAATGCGCTGAAGATGGTGAAGACGAATACGAAATGTTAGTAAATATCGTACAATCTGAATCTTTGACTGCGGAGAACCGGGAGGAAGCGATCGTATTAAATACTTTAGGTAAGTTTAAAGTATTTCAAATAGGAAACAAATAATACTTCGAAAATGAATGGTGAAGATGGCATCGAAATCCGAGAAGTTCCTGAAGCAGGTCTGGACGAAACCTTTGAAGACCATTAGTAAGAAGTTCCGGAGGAAACACGGAAAGAATTAGGAGGATCTCCGCCAAATTACAACAGAGAAATAAAATGGCGTAAGACAAATATCGAGTATGTAGAAAGAGCTTGGAAGTCGCATTTCTCTGAAGAGACTACAGAACATATTCCTCTACAGTTCTCCAAGCTATTTTTTTCCGATGAAATTATTTCTGACATCGTTTACCAAAGCAATCTGTATTCTGTGCAAAATACTACAAGTAACGCTCTCAAAACAGATTTTGCTGAAATGTTAAAATTTATTGGTATGAATTTGTTAACCAGTATAGTCCAGTTGCCGCAATATAAATTGTATTGGGCACAATCTACAAGATATTCACCCATTGCCGATGTAATGTCGAGAAATAGATTTGACGCAATAAAAAAGTTCTTCCACCTGAATGACAACAGTCAACTAAAAGAAAGATCCGATTCGGAATACGATAGACTTTTTAAAATTCGACCTTTTCTGACGAAAGTCTGAAACAACTTTTTAAAAATTGAAGCAGAGGAGATGAATTCAATAGATGAAGTCCTCATTCCAACAAAATTCAGAAATAGCCTGAAACAATACATTTGTAACAAACCCCATAAATGGGGTATTAAGATGTTTGCAAGAAACGGTGCAAGTGGAATTATGTACGACTTCGATATATATACTGGGAAGAGAACTATTGCAAATAAAACTCACTTGGGTATAAGCGGCGATGTTGTAGTAAAACTATGTGAAAGTTTGCCAAAATTTGAAAATTATAAGGTTTTCACTGATAATTGGTTTACGTCATACAATCTTATTACAGTGCTAAAACGAAATGGAATATTCCTCACAGGAACTGTTAGATGCAACAGACTACCAAAATGTCAACTTGCCTCTGATGAAATTCTGAAACGGCAAGGAAGAGGTTCTTTTGACTACAGAACTGAAAGACAAGAAAATATATGTGCAGTCAAATGGTTAGACAGCAAACCAGTATATTTGGCATCAGCAATTTATGGCGTCGATCCGGTGGATAATGTCTCGCGATGGTCAGCAAAAGACAAAAAGTATGTAAATGTAACGCGGCCTAATATAGTGTCCCAATACGTTAGATATATGGGCGGTGTAGACCTCAGCGATAT